ACCCTCCAGAGGTGGCAACTCACTCCCCCACATCTCGTGTACCTGGGGCTCCCCACTGGGGAGTCCTAGACATTATGAGGTGGATGATAAGGACTGACAGAGGCTCTGGCTGGTCTTCCTCACATCCCCAAGTTCTGCCATCAGGCTACAGGCATGGCTACCCAACCGACCCCCTGACCACAGCTATTTCTGACCTTTTGTCATTACCAGAACTGCTGTGCCTCTCAAACCTGGAACCCCATCTCCTGCTCTCTGGCCACAGCCTCTTGACTTCCCCAACCTTTCCTTAGGGTTCCCTGAGACCTCCTGTCCCTTGTTGCTTCTCTGCCCTTCTTAATCTGACTGTAGCTGGCTCTTCCAGCCTCACCCCTCACTCTTGCCCTATTCCTGCTCCAGCTACTGGAGCCTTATGCTTGAACTTGATGGGAGAAGATGGGGGTTTCTTGGTCTTCCCCAAGGCCAGCTGCTGCCACTTTCCTTGCCTTTTCATAAGGTGGTCTCTCTGACTAGAATGCCCTCAATGTCTTCTCTGGAGTTTCCTTTCCTCAACCTTGTCTGTGCTATGGCCCTTGTCACAGGCTTCCTCCCTGAATCAGTCATCTTTTCCTGCCATAAATCCTGTCTCCAGTGGACATCTCACATTTGTTTATCTTGCTCACTCTATCCTCACTCATATTACTCCAGCCATACTGGCCTCCTTGTTGTTCCTAGAACATGCCAAGCATGCTCCTGTCTCAGGGCCTTTGCACCTGCTGTTCCTTCTGCCTAGAACATTCTTCTTTAGATATCTGCAAAGCTCACTTGCTCTTTAAGATCTCTGCTCAAATGTCACCTTCTCAAATAGGGTCTTCATTGACCACCCTACTAAAAAATGCAATTCTGCCCCTGTCCCTCTCGATTCCCTTCTCAGAATTGTTTTTCTACATACATTTTAGATATCTAATATTTTTAGATATTAACATTCTCTCATTTATTTTTTTTCTGTCTGTCTCTACGCATTTGGATATGAGTTCAAGAGGGTGGAAATTTTTGCCTATTTTGTGTACCGATGTGTCCCCAGTAGCTAACAATAGCAGGTTCGTGATAAATCATCCAACAAATCTGCCTTCTGCCACAGTACCTCATCCAGGTTCTGTTCATGGCTTGTGATCTGTAGGTTGCCCAGATAGAGGAGCAGGTCTGGGACAAGCCTGAGCCCTGAGGTCTCTCTGCTACCCTTCTCTCACTCTGGCCAAGGTCCCAGCCAGGTGCTGAGGGATGTAAAGGGGACACGTGGCCATGGCCCTGGGCCGATGGTCTTAGCAGATCTTTGTCAAGAAGCTAAAGGGCCAGTTAGTACAGTGCCAGCCTCTCTATATCTTTGGGGATAGGCCTAGTCTTTTCTCTACCTACCTGGACCTCAGTTTCCACAAGTGGATCTTGGTTAGTGGGCTGATGCTTGGACTGTTGCCAGCAGGAAATGAAAGGGATGTGGTGAGAAGTAAGAACTGCTGGAAAGGAAGCCAAGAACCCTGGGTTGTGGACTGCAGTGTGTAACTAACCCTTCTGATGACCTCAGATGAGTCACTAGCCTGCCTTGAAACTCAGTTTCCTCATCGAAAAGTGATAGCAATTTTCAAATGTTGCTACTATTATTACGTAGAGAAATTAAAACTTAGATGATTTTTAAAAAGAGAAAGAACCATCCACCAATTTTATGATACAGCTCTGACCCTATGGGGCACTCCATGGGGTTGCATGGGAATCCTGAGCTCAGGAAACAGAAGTTAGAAGCTTCGTATGTGACATCAGGATGGAAACAGGGAGGGGAAAATCTTGTTCAAGGTTATCCAGTAGATCAGTGACAGAATCAAGACTGGAACTCGAGTCCCCCATTTTCAGCTTGGGCCAGTGAGGGGAATCCCTGGGCCCTGTGATGTCAGCTTGGAACTAATCTCTAGGAGAAACCAAGATAGGCTTTGGTAAAGGCAGGAAGGTTGGGGGGAGGTGAGGCCAGACTAGAGCTGGGGCCACACCTCTGAGCTTCCCAAACACAGGAGGTGAGCCCTTGATTCTAGGCAGAGTACCCACCGTCTCCCAGGAGAGTGGAGGTGGATAAGGCTCTGAGTCCCTGGCCCTGATCACTAGATCCCTCTCCTGTTGTCCACATGAACTTCACCCCATCCCACACTTAGGGTCTAGCAGGATTTTTTCCTGTCCCCTCCTAACTACCTGGGAGTGAGAGCCTGGTGAGGGGAAAAGGTCCCACCTCTCTTTTCCTTATAAGACCATGGCAGGCACCTCGGGAGGACTGAGAGAAAGGGGGTGGGGGAATGGCTTCCTATGGACAAGATGGTCATCACTGGGTGTTCTATTTAAACCCCACATGAATGCAAGGGTGGGAAGACTGAGCTGCACAGGGTATGAGAAGAAGGTGGCAGGCCTGTTGAATGCTCTGGTGAGTGACAAGAAGGAAGAATTCAAACCCTGGGAGTAGGGCTGCAGAGGAAAAACACCAGTCTGAGGATGAAAAGTCCCGGGTTGAGTCCTGACTCTGCTCTTCCCTTTACTCACATGCACCCTCTTAAGCAAGACGCCCAAACATTCTGCTTTAGTTTCCCCATCTGTAAGATGAGGCCTACCTCTCAGCCTACAAGTGAAGGTAAACTTAGGAGGACGCCAGGCATCATGGGTCAGGGCCCATTCTGGAGTCAACAGACCTGCACTCCTTTCACAGCTCCAATACTGCCCAGTCTGACCTCTTCCGCCACTGACAAAATGACCCCTTAAAATCCCTTCCACATTTATGAGCTCTAGGGCATGACCCAATTGATACAAAAATTTTAGCTTAAATGGAAGTCTATGCTATGAGTGATTATTCCTCTACAGAGATATTTTAAGCAGCAGATATTGGAAAACCCTAATATCTACACCTGGGTAAACATGAGCCATGTATGCTTCCTTTTTTCTATGCCAGAGTTTTGATACATATGCTGAATTATCACATACTGTTTTATAGACCTAGAAAGACAGGTAGTATTTGAATAACAGCACTAAACTGGGAGACAGGAGACTATTGTCTTCTAAACCTCCCTGTGTTTGGTTCATCTACCAAGAGGAGATGCTACTCCTACCAGCTGGATAAGACTGCTGTGATGATTATGCACATAAACAGCTGATACTACCACTGAGTAGCTGTATGATCTTAGGCAAATTACTTAACCTCAGATTTCCAGTCAAGATGGTGGAGTAGGTAAACACTCTGCTTACCTCCTCTCATGACCACATTAAAATTATAACTGACCTACAGAACGACCATCATTGAGAATTGCCTGAAGCCTAACTAAACAGAAGTCCTACAACTTAGGACGTACAGAAGAAGCCAACCTGAGGCTAGTAGGAATGACAGAGACATGGAACGGGCTGGCCCCACACTTGCATGTGGTGGATAAAAGTCAGGAAGAATATCTAAGCTGCAGAAGTGCCCCCCCCAACCCAGAGAGTGAGGGGTCCCAGCCCCACACCAGGCTCCCCAGCCCAGAGTTCCAGCTCCAGGAAAAGAAGTCTCCACAATTTCTGGCTGTGAAAACCTGCAGGGGTGGGGCTGAGTGAGACAGAGGGCAGTGGAAGTGCCTCTCA